GCAGCGCTACAGGGGTTGTTCCTCTACAACAAGGACGACACCGAGGGCGCTATTGGGATGGTTGAGGGCCTCACCGCTGGTCGCAAAGCCGAAAACCACGTGGGGATACCCGGTCACGTTGACGTGAACGAGGTGACGTCACGGTGAGCGTTGGGAACCCGTAGAAATATGTAAAACTCCGAATGCAAACGCTGCGGCTCTGTTCGCTCGGACGTGCAGATGTCAATCAGTCTTGGTGTGTAAGGGTGCCGGGATTTTGAAGCATGCAGGCGTGTGATGGTATGCAGGCGGCTCGCGCGCGCGGGAGCGTGCGAGGCTTTTTTCCTGGGAACTCCACATCGTCGCCCGGATCTAACCGCTTACCGTGAAGACACTGCAGTCGCCATTGGATGACTCAAGCAGTATTCCATCATTGACCTAATTCTGGACCGCTTCCCGCGCTTCCATCTAATCAGATCATCGAAAAGTGTGAGGCCCAACACATGGCTGCCGGTGGTTTTATCTGATCATCTGATTCCGACGTCGCGCGAGGCCGCTTTGGCGCGACAAACGGAGCACTTGTACACGCGCCCCTGGCCACACCCGGGCACCCACCCATACATATGGCTAACGAGGACGGGTGCGGGTCATCTTCGTCGCTTGCTCTCTCGCCTGCCCATCCTTCTGGAAACACGCGACACGACCGTCCTCCCGTCTCGCCAGGCAGCTACGAGTTGCAGCCTCTGCCTGACAAAGCAAAGAAAGCAAGGAACATAGCCACGTCCGAAACCCCTTCTGATGACGATCTTGATTCGCCAGCTGGCCGCCCCGAGACTCCTACACGATCCGTCAAGACAGCAATGTCAAGAGTACCTCTCTTGGTGAGATCGAGCCCGGCGCAGGGAACAGGTACGCAAACTATTCTTCGTTGTCAAGCGCCATGGTCGTCAATCGCCCCTCGGCCTGGGACGGGTGCACAGGAGCAACGATGCACACGGCGCACAGAACCTCATTCGCTACACGTGCTGACCCCAACCTCAGGTTCATATGGCGGCCTACCTATTCTTTCTTCCAGTCCAGAGGAGTCTGATGAAAATAATGTGATTAAAAACTCAAGAAAGAAGAAAGGAAAGAGCAGACTTTCGCATAGTGAGCCCTCACTACTTTCGGATCACCACCAAAATGATTCGACACGTAGTGAGCCAATCCTTTCAGGCGCTACCAAGTCACGACGCAGGACGGGTGACGCCAGTCGTAGCAGCACGACGCTCGGTGTAGCCTCTAGTGGCCAGGACTTTGAAGCTAGGTTCAACGCAAGCGGTCTTGATCCTTCTACCGCCGGCGCGCCACTGTTTGACAACTCAACCTCATCGAGCAGTACGCTAGACGATAATGATTCCTCCGAGGACGACGATTTACACGATATGAAGGGTAGCCCGTCCGATAATTCGCCCTACGCTCAAGTGAGGGCATCCGTCGCTGCTACCGACGACCTTTCCCTGTCCATTGATACCCCGCGCATGTGGTTCCTATCGATTCTGTTTTCTATCGCCGGTTCTTCAACCAACTTGTTCTTTTCCCTACGATACCCTAGCGTCAGCCTTACTCCTATTATTGCACTACTACTCGTCCACCCTCTCGGTCTGCTTTGGGACCAACTCTTCAAACGACACGACGATCCTGAAGAAACCTTCGTCGATGGCTGCTCTCAAACGGCATGGCATCCTCCACAGGCAAAAGCCACTTGGAAACGCCGGATACGGCTTTGGCTAGGCCAAGGCCGTTGGAATGAAAAGGAACACTGCTGCGTATACGTCAGCAGCAATGTATCCTTCGGCTTTGCCTTTGCGACAGACGTAAGTATCATCCATGCATCGATGTACGGTATGCTGACGACCCAAGGTCATCGTTGAGCAAGTCAAGTTCTACAAGCAAGACCTTGGCATCATGTACCAAATATTGCTCATCCTCTCCACACAAATACTTGGCTACTCCCTTGCCGGTATCACCAGACGTTACCTGGTCCGACCCAGCGGCATGATTTGGCCGAGCACACTGGTATCAACTGCCATGTTCACAGCGTTACATAAAGATGAAAACAAGTCTGCTGATGGCTGGACCATCGCTCCACGCAAGTTCTTCTCGCGCATATTCATGGGATCCGTTGCATTCTACTTCCTACCTGGTCTCCTATTCCCAGCATTGAGTTACTTCAATGTCATCACTTGGTTCGCGCCAAAGAGCGTTGTTGTTGCCAACCTGGTACGTTTGTTGCTTGTCTGAATCGACAGAGAGCTAACCTGAGCAGTTCGGAATCTCATCTGGTCTTGGACTATTCCCAGTGACTTTCGATTGGGCGCAAATCGCATACATTGGCTCCCCGCTGATTACGCCATTCTGGGCTGCTATGAACATTCTTGGAGGCCTTGTAGGAGTGATGTGGATTGCAGCGCCAATCATGTGTAAGTAGTTCAGGAGGTTTGACTACTTGTGCTAACAGCTCTTAGACTACAAGAACGTCCTCTACTCATCCTACATGCCCATCCTATCATCCGCCGTATGGGATAATCGCGGCAAGCCGTACGACGTCAGCAAGATCTTGACCGAGAACTTCCTCTTTGACGAAGAAGCGTACAAGCAATACAGCCGCGTCTACCTCCCGATTACATACGTATTGAGCTACGCCCTACAGTTCGCCGGTCTTACAGCTCTGCTTTCGCACACTGGCCTTTGGTACGGGAAGGATATCTGGAGGCAATGGCGTCGCTCTTGGGCTGAGATCCGGAAGGAATCAGCAGCTGACTACCAGCCACTTGTGAATGGTACCGACAACAACAGCCAACCAACTTCCCCTGCAATGTTGCGACACAGGCCCAGTACGACTTCAGATCCAGACGTGGAAGACTTGCTATCTGCAGAAGATGTGCACAATCGACTCATGCGCAAATACGAGGACGTGCCGATAACTTGGTACCTTTTGACTGGCATCAGTATGGCCGCAGTTGGCATGTTCGTCGTCGAGTACTACCCCGTCCATCTACCCTGGTACGGCCTCTTGCTAGCACTTGGCATCGGCGCAGTCCTCTTCGTTCCCATCGGCATCGTCATGGCCATTACAAACCAACAAAGCAGCATCTACCTCATCTGCCAACTGATCTGCGGTGTTGTATTCCCCGGTCGACCCGTCGCAAACATGGTCTTTACGACCTTCGGCTACATCTCAGCAACCCAAGGCCTCAAGTTTGCTTCCGATCTCAAGCTCGGCCACTACATGAAGATTCCACCTAGAATCCTCTTCAAGCTCCAACTCTCTGTCACCATCATCTCCAGTCTAACACAAATCGGCGTTCTTAACTGGATGCTGAACAACATCCCCGGTATCTGCACACCCTCGGCCATCAACGGCTTCAACTGCCCTATCGCCCGCGTGCACTTCAACGGAAGTATCCTTTGGGGTGTCGTTGGTCCAGGAAAGTTCTTCGGTCCCGGCGCACTCTACCAACACCTGATCTGGGCCTTCCCCATCGGCGCCATCGCACCTGTTATACTCTGGTACCTCGCCCGCGGCAGCCGCAAGTCCATCCTCAGTAAGGTCAACCTCGCCGTCGTGTTCGGTTCCTTGAGCTGGATTCCACCGGCCACCGGACTCAACTTCTCCGTTTGGGCGATTGTGTGCTACATCTTCAACTATGAGATCCGCAACCGGAGGAACGCGTGGTGGAAGAAGTACAACATGATGCTTAGCGCGGCTTTGGACTCTGGTCTTGCGTTTGGTGTTGTGGTCATCTTCTTTGGCATTGTGTACCCCGGTTGGATGAGTAACTTCAAATGGTGGGGTACGGAGGTTTACAAACAGGTAAGTCATCAACATACACCCCGGTTTAATTGTATACATGTGCTAATAACATTGACAGGGTTGCGACTGGCAAGCCTGCCCGTACAAGGAAGTACCCAAAGGCGAGACCTTCGGACCTGGGAGTTGGTGATTCGTTGATTACACGCATTGAGCTTGCTTACTCGCATTGCATATGCATTAGACGACCGGCGTTCACGAGTGGAGTTTGGGATAGACATGCTGTTGGATACACCACGTTGATCGTTTGAGCGGATTGGATACGCTCGCGACTTTGCATGTTATTATTAGGTACTGTTTTTGGATAGAATGAATCTCATTGCTGTCCTCTCTTGATTTCTAGAAGCTTGTTGACGGCTAGGTTCCGATATGCGTTTCCATAAACTCACCCACCTCTTACTTCACCGCTTCCGTCTACCCATCTACGACAAAAACGAAAGGGAGTAAACTTACAGCACACACGACGCGAGCACCCAGCAAAAAGTAATTGAGCCCACCGCGACTTGAACGCGGATCCCCCACAATCTCGGCAAGGCTGTGTGCAGGTCATCATCGGCGAAGTCCCAAGAATTGGGCTTTGTACTGGTCTCAAAGCCCGACTGATTCGACACAACTTGGCGGAAGCTCAAACGGTCTCTCAGCCTTGTTCGTTCGCACGCTGAGACAATGCGATGGCAGCCCTGCGCGGTTTGAGATGTGGGTGTCTTACCGTTGGACTATGGGCTCTGAGAGTGGGTGGGTTTGATGGAGGAGTGAGCTATTAGAGGAGGTTTGTGGTTAAGGTGTTGGCTGGGTGGGTAATTGTTATGCGGAGATATGGAATATCAAGCTCTCGCGGGGCGGTGGAAGAGCGCTTTGGAGACGGCGGTGCGGTGTGAAGGCAGCTCGGAGGGTCTTCACGGCATGATTACAAGCATAAAGAAAGATTGTTGGTACATGCATAGTTATTTATTAGATCTCATCTTCCGCTCAGAATGGCTCGAGCTGACTACATAGTAGTGAAGCTCCTTCATATCACAAAACCTGTCGTGGCAATACCGCAGTCGCTCGCTACCTTCTCATAAGGCCTGCAGGTCGAGAGTTATCGTATATTACGCGCCAAATGAATCCCATATTATATCCTTCCAAACAACTCCGACTGATCTCGGCCGATGATGCCGGCTTCTCATCAAGTCATCTTGACATCCGTCTTCAACTCCCAATATCTGCCACCAATCATTGCAGTCGCCAATGCCGAGGCGCGCTTTGCCATCTCTATCTCTTCGGTCTCGATGGTCATCTTAGCAACTCCACCATGGCACTCGAATTTGCCCGCCCATACATCGGGCCACTTTGGAGCGGAGTACGCGTTGCTGGCAGTAACCTTCAGGTGCCAAGATCCATCGTAACCGATGAGGAATCCGGCGACGTGCTGGAAACGGTAGGCCTTCATGGAGGTATGATGCTCGAATGTGCCGATCTAGAGGGATGTTAGCGATCGTCTGCTTGGAGGGTATGTGATGACTTACGAAGACTTCAAGACCCTTGCGCCATACGACAAGCTGAACGTCCTTCTTACCGAATACAGCCTTGAAGGTGTTGACCGTGGGGTTAACGAACGACTTGAGCGTCGCCGGCGAAATGTTGTATAGAGCGGTGACAACGGCATCTTGGAGCTTCAGTGCGCCGTCTTTTGTCATTGACGCAGCATACTCGGCAAGATCGAGAATGTGAGCATGACTGGGTGGGCCACTTGAAGGTAGGGTTTCGAAGTCATCCGTGTATGAAGACGTGCTGCTGTCGCTCTTGCCAGAGTCGCTCTTGCCTGGCGAATTGGGGCTAAGGTCAGTGCCAGCAGGGGATGCAAGACCGGTGCTGTTGACGTCGATCTCCATGGGAGTGCTGTCGTGATGGGTAGTCATTGTAGCGGTGCGGTTGACAGATTGTGCGTGCTCTCGTGTGTCTTGTTCGAGATCGGTGTCAATGTCAGAAGGTTGTAGCTGCAAGCGTCTGAATCTCGTAGTTACCGGCATGGTACAAGATATATGGGTACAACAGTTGGGCGCGCTAGCTTCCGGTGAGCGATGAGATCTATGAAAGAGGAGTGGTGAGCATGGAGTCAAAGAAGGAGCGATGAAAGATGATGGGGAATATGCTGCTCTACCTGAAGCGCGTAGGCGTTTGCCATGCGGGTCACACAAGTAGCGCTAGCGGGCGAGGTCGGTGAGAGCTCATGGAAGGCGCGACGGTGAGGAAAGAGATGACATACCGATTATCGCACATGGCTTTAGTAGTCATGAGGGGCAAGTAAGAAGGATGTCATGAGCAAGTGATGGTGGTGCAGGGGAGAAACAACCAACATGCACGGTCTCGTTCGCGCATTGACAAAGGGCAGGCGAGATGAAAGAGCGACCACGATTGAAAGGCGACTTCGGATACTATGCATGTTGGAAACAAAGCCACTGCCTAGTCTTGCTTAACCATAGCTTGTCGCAATACACATTTGAGCTGTTGACAGGTTCCTGAAGGAAAGCTCTGATTCATCCATGGATGTCGACTACCTAGGTACCCTAGTATTCCATGCAAGAAAGGGCTCGCTTGAATCACCGGTCTTTCATATCCTCTTCCTTAAACTGATGCATGTATCAATGAAACTCAATGCTCAGTATATGAGACAGCAGGCTTCATGAATATGACGATGCATCAGCGGGCCACGCTGATCTCAATGTTCCACTTGGACTCCGCCTTGGGGATCCAGCACTCGTTGCTCAGGATGTAATCACCCAAGTTCCGTGCGGATTGCTCTTCCCCCTTCTTCTTGTCATGCTCAATGCCCATTCGAGTGTAACGTGGGAGGAATGATTCTGCCCATGCGTGGTGAAGCCCAAGGCGAGTGTATCTACCAAACGTGGCGGATGCAAGGTCCCAAGAGCCTTCATAGTTGATACGGGAACGAACAAGGTTGTCCCATTCCAATTCATCATCCTCGGGGTACTCCACGAACTGGCCGACCTAGAATCCAGGTACCGTGTAAGCATCATGTTGAGACTCATGTATCTTGGTAGGATCACTTACAAGAACTTGAGCACCCTGCCTCCAAACGATCATCTGATTCTCGACATGCTCCCTCTTGGATGACCAGAGAAACTTGAACGATGTAGTCTGACTGTCAAGGAATTGATCCAATGTTGCCTTAGAGATGTTGAAGAGCAGAGTGGCGACTGCGTCTTGGATCTTGACATCGCACTGTACCCCTATAGAGGGCAGGGAAGGCTCGTAGAGAGCCATATCGATAACGTGGGCATGGTCGGAAGGTGCGTTCGCAGGCAAATGCTCATGGACGCATAGGAACCGCACAGGAAGATACTCGGTGTCGATGGACCAGGCGCCATTGCGGTCGCAGCTAATAGCAAGTACCATCGTGTTTGGCTTATGAGGTTGATGTGTGTTGTGTGGGGAGCAAGACTTCGTCCAAAGTTGTTTTGATTTCATACCAAAAGCTTGGACCACAAGGGGAGAGCAAACGGCGGTGACAGTGCGCGCAAGTCAAGGTGAACGAGGATACACCACTTTTGGTTAATCATAGAGAGAAATCGATGTGTGGCGTGTGGACTGGAAAATTAGTAGGCCGTGCGAAAAAGGCAGATATGTTCTCATGACTAGAGGCGAAGTAATCGTGCTCGTCCATCAAATCTCCCTCAGTAGTTTGGACTGGGTCAGTAGATGAGAGTTGAAGAAGAAGACACATCATGAAGATGACTTTCAAAGTATTCTAGTGACATATGAGACTCTCGAGTCATGTAAGAGCCCGGAGAAGCTCGCACTATTAAGAAGTCCATCATAGTATCCTTTCCGCTTCCTCGCTTGACTGGTCACGGTATGACTTACTCCCAATGGAACTCCCTGGTCCAGCGAGTAGAGTCCCAGTACTGACCCGCCAAGATGTGATCAGCAACCTGCGTGGCCAACATTGCCCGCTCCGGCTGGCCTTCAGTAGTCTCGAAGCGGAGAGCCGCGAGCACACCACCGACATTGACCGTGTTTCCTGCCCAGACATCGTCCCAGGTCAAGATGCCGATCAAGTTGACGGAGAAGTAGTCGCGGTACGCTGCGTAGGTGATCTTCCACGCTCCGGTCGCATCAATAGAGCAACGGAGGAGATTATCGAACTCCAGCAAATCCTGAACTCTGGCGTACTGGCCCACCTATGAGTAATTTCGTTAGTGTCATGAATTCCTATACGCCTTTCCCAACTGTCACCTACCAAAACTTCGTTGCCTCTCTTCATGACAATGACACGATTGTAGTAGCGGTCGGACTTGGATACAAAGTCCATGTGGAAGGCCTTGGTAGGATGGAAGAACTTGGTGAGAGTACTCTTGGAGACTTGATGAAGAGTTGTAACGATGGCGTCTTGGATCTTGATGTCGGTGGTGACCTCGCCGTCGTTCTCCTTGAAGGTAGTAAGATCGATGATGTGGGGGTGATTAGCTGGAGCAGTAGAAGGAAGCTCGGCAAAGCTATCGACAAATTGGATGTGGTGGACCATCGTGCTGAAATTGATTTGCACTGAGCTGTGTTTTGTTGTGAGAATCTTGTTGGGCGAGACGTGTGCTTTATATAGAGAGAGGCTCTGCACGATACCAGCACGTAATCACCCTGGCGTCTCTCGTGCAAACGGTCCCAGTGGCAAAATCTCTCACCGTATAACCTGATTAGGAAACTACCTGCAAGTCAATTCGTCCTTCTCTCACAGTAATCATAGCGCTAGAGGTGATATCGGTATGTCTACTGCCTGAACAAACGCAAAAAAAGGTTACACATGAGGCTCTTAATGCTGTACGCTGTCATCATAGTATACGGCGCATCCGGATTTAGCTGTCTCCCATTATCCTGCGCAGCATCAGAACCTCGTGCTTTGTAACGAAGACGCTGTTGAGTGCCGCCGAAGTATCAGTGGGCGACTGCGACCCCATGTTGTCAAGCGCATCGACCAGATCACGCACCTTTGCGCCCTCCCAGCCTCCTTTGTCATCGGTCCAGAAAACGCGTTTGATGCCCACAGACGCCATGTAGGATATGCATCGGTAGCAGGGTCGGGAAGCCAGGACGGTGGGGCGCTTCTCGTCCTTTGTTGGAGACGGCGGATGCTTGGTGCGTGCTGGCCTCGCCGGCTCTGGACTGGTGAGCTCGTCGTGCAATGAACCTGTGGCAGGGCGCGATGGAGGTAGTGTCGCGGCGTCTTCGTCTGGCTCTTCGCAGCACACCTTCGGCGCACATTGCCAGCCCAGTCTTACGACGTACAGATCGGCTCCGTTCAAACGTGGGCTCTTGGTCCTGTTTTTGATGTTGCGAGAACTCTGTCCAGTCTGTCCCTTCGGCATGAGCATTGGCTGATTACTGGCGGTTGGGGGGCTCTGTCTTTCATTCTATGACCGTCAGCATGTGTGATGACAGAGCTCGGACGACGCACCTTTCCTGCTTTATCACGATTATTGGATGACACTTCCGACGACGAAGACGCTTCAGAAGCGCTCGACGTTGGAGACTGGTTATAGCATGGAGCTACGATGGTTTGCTTACGCGCATGTTGTCGACCACTGTGTTTGTGTTGTCCATTGTTGTACTTGTTGCCAACGTTGTGATGATGATTCTTCCCTTTCATCGGACGGTGTTTCTCCGTACTGTTCGTTTTCGACAAGGCCACGTTCTCGTTCTTCTCCTGGTCGTGGAACACAAGGTTCAATCTCGCGCGGTCCAGATGCAGAGGATTCAAATCGCCACTCTTGAACACCGGACTGGGCACTGCCAGAGGCCGCGGTGTACTGGGCCAGTGCGGCCTCGCAGATGGCTTTGACATATGAGTTGATTGCTTCCCTTCGTAGTCATGACTTTCGTTTAGAATCACCCGATAGTTTAAAGTACGGTTTTTCAGAGGACACCGCGCTAGAGGCCAGCGTGCTAGAAGCCGAGAGAGCAGAGTGAATCGCCATCATCTCGCTATGCATGGATAAAGGAGTGTTGGCAAGCTTTCCTCCCCCGCCCATGTTTTCAAAGGGCGTAAGCGTCCTGTTCACATGATCTTCCGGCCCACCTAACTCTCGCTTGGTCGAGCGCAGTGGAAGGCGCCCAGTCTTCAGGGCACCGTCAAAGCCAGAGCGATGATCATTGTAGCCGTGACCAATGACTTTACCACCACGAACAATGATGGCTCCATGCCGATAGCGCAAAGGCGACTTAGCGGCCTGCTCGAGGCAGAGGTTAAGGTAATCGTCAGTCTTCATTTTGATGAACGATGCAGGTATGACTGGACTTTCGACGGGATGTGGTTAGAAGCTGGTATCGCGATTGAGTATTGCGGATGTTTGGTTTTCTTCGTGATGAATCTGATAACAGAGTTGTATTTGGCAGCTAGTAAGACGTGTTCTGGATGCACGAGGGAGCGTGGGTATGAGTTTCAACGCGCGAGGAAATGGCACCCGGGTTAGCGTCTTGGCAACACTCAAGCTTCACGCGCTCATCCCTCTTCATAGCTCCATCGCAGTCGAACGCGTCATCGTGGAATCGCAATCAGCCTGCGCAACCCTATGATTTATACGAAAGTTATTGTATATACAAAAAGTTCTAATGACCAACAAGCGGACGCCTACTCGGCCCAGACAACCGCGCTGAGACCGTCCTCGTTCTCCGGAATGCCGGCAGCCCCGATCCTAAGGTCCGCAACGCGCTCTCCCAACTTGCCAGTCGCCGGATCTCTTGGTACGATAGCTACGTTCGAAGTGGTTTGATCGCCAATGGCGACGAAGTCACCGGCCTTGTTGATGTCGAAAGTACGCGGGTACGTGCCATAGGATGACGTGAGGGCTGTCCATGTCAGGCTTCCGTTAGGAGAGATGCTGAATTGGGTAATTGAGTCATTCGG